AGATAGATAGATAGACAGACAGACAGACAGACAGACAGACAGACAGACAGACAGACAGACAGACAGATAGATAGATAGATAGACAGATATATAGATCTGAGCATGTGCTCAAAACAGAATCTTACAGGAACATGCAAAACCATGCACAAATCACTGTATATGTCTAAAACACATTTCCCTTAAAAACACATCATGTATCAGAAACAAGAGCCAGCAGTTTTGGCCGAGGCCGGTTTCGCTGTTTTTAAAGCTGGACTGCTTTAGATTTATATATATATATATATTTAACTTCTTAAATAAATTGTATAAAATGGGATTACAACCCATGAACCAAACCAACCAACTACAAAGTGGATCAAAACATTACAAACTTAAAACTTAAAAACTTAAAAAAAAAAAGGTAAAGGGATAGAATTACAATCCCATGATGCAAATGACATAATCAAATTAAAAATTATGTAAAAATATCAAATAATTTATTTAAAAATTGTTAAATATGTCCTTTAATGTATAAAAACTGTAATAGATCTAATGGGACATTTCATGTAATTTTACAGTAAAATACTGGTAAAAGTAAAGTTTGTGGAAGTGAAAAAGAACAAGTCGTCAGTTTACAGTGAAAAGCCAAATTCTGGACATTCCCAGAATTCCCTGTGTTTAAAATGCATTTTATTTTTATTTAATTTTTTTGTAAATTACAGTTTTTAACTGTAAAAATTACAGATTGTTTTGTAAACATTTTTGCTGTCTTTTTACAGAATTATTCTGTCAACCACAGCTGCCATTTTTTTGTTGTTGTTTTTTTTTTTTATGTAAAAACAACAGTTTTTTTCTTTAATAACTGAATTAAATTGAATTTTGTTTTATTCTATGTATTACTATTGTTATTATTTTTATTATTATTATTATTTATTTAGCAGTGTAGAAACAATATATTTTGCATTTATTTCAAAATATGCATATTATGCATATACATATTTAAGTAACGGAGACTGAATGCTGAGACTGTCCAATCAGAATCAAGTATTAAGCTGTGTAAAAAATGTTTTGTAACTGTGGTTTCAACTGTTAATGAAAAATAGCGAATTACACACTGCAGGCTTTATGGATACCTTTATAACGCACAAAGGCATTTAGAAAGCATTGACTGGTTTCGTGTAAATTGCTTCGCTGTATTCTGTTCGCAGGACGCGGTTCTAATGTTAAGCGTGGTGAATGAAAATATGAATCCATGCTGGGATCTGGCATAAGCGTTTTATTTGGTTAGCTGTGGGAATTAAATGTCCCAGCAATCCTGGCAAAGACTTTTACACCCAACCTACATAACATTGAAGTTGACATTGAAATAACACCAAAGTTCACAAAAATATACTCAAAAATACCAAATTTTATATTAGAACTAAACATTAATGTCGAGCATAAATGTGTCAGTTCATTGATGCTGGGGAAGGACAGAAAAACCACAGGCAGGAATAGAGAGGTGCGTCTGCACACACGCACACACACACACGCTTCCTTGACTCCTTTTACACCAGTAACTGGATATTATTTCTTCAGCTCTGTTTACACTTGGACTGAAAAGCCTCAGTTTGGCACATCGCTAAGAGCTTATCTGTTTCATCTGGGGGTATTAATAATAATAATAAAAAATACATTACTTGAAACATAATAAGCACTAACCGAATTTAAATGAAATATAATAAGCTTTGTATTTCAGCTTTTCGCTACAATAACTAAAACGGAAATAAAAATAAATGATAACACTTTATAACAATTCTTGCTACTTTCACAAATTGCTAATCAGCCAATCACATGGCAGCAACTCAATGCATTTAGGCATCTAGATGTGGTGAAGACGACTTGCTGGAGTTCAAACCGAGCATCAGAATGGGGAAGAAAAGGGATTTAAGTGACTTTGAACTAGAGATGATAGAAAGGCAACAGTAACTCAAATAACCACTCGTTACAACCAAGGTATGCAGAATAGCATCTCTGAACGCACAACACGTCGAACCCTGAAGCAGATGGGCTACAGCAGCAGAAGACCACACCGGGTGCCGCTCCTGTCAGCTAAGAACAGGAAACAGAGGCTACAATTCGCACAGGCTCACCAAAATTGGACAATAGAAGATTGGAAAAACGTTGCCTGGTCTGATGAGTCTCGATCTCTGCTGCGACATTCAGATGGTAGGGTCAGAATCTGGCGTAAAGAACATGAAAGCATGGATCCATCCTGCCTTGTCTCAACAGTTCAGGCTGGTGGTGGTGGTGTAATGGTGTGGGGGATATTTTCTTGGCACACTTTGGGCCCCTTAGTACCAGTTGAGCATCGTTTAAACGCCCTTCGTACCAATTGAGCATCGTTTAAACGCCACAGCCTACCTGAGTATTGTTGCTGACCGTGTCCATCCCTTTATGACGACCGTGTACCCATCTTCTGATGGCTACTTCCAGCAGGATAATGCACCATGTCACAAAGCTCAAATCCTCTCAGACTGGTTTCTTGAACATGGCAATGAGTTCACTTTACTCAAATGGCCTCCACAGTCACCAGATCTCAATCCAATAGAGCACCTTTGGGATGTGGTGGAACGGGAGATTCGCATCATGGATGTGAATGGATTGTTGAATCTATGCCGCGAAGAATTAAGGCAGTTCTGAAGGCAAAGGGGGGTCCAACCCGGTACTAGCAAGGTGTACCTAATAAAGTGGCCAGTGAGTGTAAAGCAAACATAGCCCGAGTCATCACATTTATAAGAAACCATAACGAGAGTGCAGATACAGAGAAACAATACTGGGAGATTTATTCATGAATAACACAAACTCTGCAGAAGGGGAACTCTTAAAAATAAAGGTGCTTAAAAGGTTGTTCACAGCGATGCCATAGAAGAACCATTTTTGGTTCCACAAAGAACCATTCAGTCAAAGAACCATCTCTTTCTTAGCTTTTTATAATCTGAAGAAGCTTCTTTCACCACAAAGAAGCTTTTGTGAAACTGAAAGGTTCTTCAGATGTTAAAGGTTCTTTATGGAACCATTTCGACAAAAAGGTTCTTCTTTGTGAATAAAGTGAATAATGAACTTTAAAGTATGGTTGTGCTAACAGTTCATTGAAATTAATGAATTAAATTCCTAATAAATATTCATTTAATTTAAGGTATTATGTGAAAAATAAGTCTTAATATCTTACACAATTTATCTTGTTTTAAGTATGGTTACATCAGTGTTATTTTAGTATGATTGTAATACTATCATAGATTTAGTTTTTTTTTTATATATATTGATTTTTATATTTTCCATTTTAGCATTTTTAGTCATTTTTGTTTTGCATTAATTTTATTTTATTATATTTATTTTATTTCAGTTTTTTTTGTGATTTGATTTCAGTTAACGTTTATTTTATTTCAAGCATTTTTGTTAAGTTTTTATTTTTAGTTTTAGTTACCTATAATAACTGAGGTTAACATTTTACTGGTAAACAAGACAAAAGTGCTGATTAAAAGTATATTTTTGTGTTGTAAAACCGTGGATGTCTATAGAAAGTTGATGAAATGGCACTGAAAAACAGAAGCAAGAGCTTTGGTTTGGTCTTGTCCGTGCACACATGAGCAGTGAAGGTCCAGCGTGTTTGTTTTGTCTGCAGATGAGCTCCATTGTTAACCTTCAGCGTCCGCTCGTCACTTCACACCACCCCCAAACACAGCAGGTACACAGCTGTCCCACACTCCAGCAAACCATGCTCCACGCTCCACGCTCCACGCTCCAGCTTCACAGCTACACTCTTACAAACAAAGCTGCTTCACAGTGATGCCACGGAAGAACCTTTTTGTCTAAATGGTTCCATAAAGAACCTTTAACATCTGAAGAACCTTTCAGTTTCACAAAAGCTTCTTTGTGGCGAAAGAAGCTTCTTCAGATTATAAAAAGCAAAGAAAGAGATGGTTCTTTGACTGAATGGTTCTTTGTGGAACGAAAA